TTCTAAAAGTATCCGGCAGTGCATTCCATAAAGTAGCAGCTAAATAAGAAAAAGAGTGAAGGCCATATGTAGTTGTTCTAGGTTTAGGGAGAGACAGAATGTAGTTACCGCGTAAATTATAGGAAGTAGACCGCTTGTTGCTTGTTTTCTTGTTTTCTCTGTCTCTTTCTTTACATTTTTATCCTTCTGTCAAGTGCTTTATTAACGTTTRACAACTATATCTGTTCACAGGAAAGACACATCAGTTCTACATCTAGTCGACCTGCTAATGGTAGCTGCGATGGGTCCCCCTGGAGGAGGAAGAAACGAAATCACACCAAGATTCCTGTGTCATTTTAACGTCATATCTATCGACTCATTCAGCGTCAACACCATGAAAAATATCTTCTCGATCATCATGGATTGGCATTTCAACCGAGGGTTTGAAAATCAACTGCGCCGCTTTTCCAAGGTATCTAATAACTTATTTACATTAATCGATAAAACGTTTGGAAGAATAACCTTTCCATACAGCAATAAAACTCCTCTTTTATGAAAGATATACGATACCAGGCACTTCCTTACGTCCTCGGTGGTTCTTTTACGTCCCTTTGATATTGGTTAGTGATTATGAAATGTGGAGAGACGGGACCGCTATTTTATTTAATCATCCGAGCCAATTCAAAGTCTAACCATTTGTAGATGTAATTACAAAGGCCTTCAGCACTTTCTCCTCAGTTACTAAAGACCCCGAGTGTTGGTCCGGCCGCCAAGGCTTGAACCCACTACCTCCCACACAACAGTTCGATGCTCAACCAAAGTGTCGGTAATTCTTGATTTGCCGCTGACCATGAATAATAGGTTATAATTAATATCGATCCCGCTGACCATCAATATTGTTTTCAGATAATGATAAGCGCCACCATAGAGGTGTACAATCAAGCTATCTCGAGTTTTTTACCAACGCCTTCCAAGTCACACTATGTGTTTAACCTCAGGGACTTCTCTCGTGTGGTGCAGGTTAGTAGACGTAACAAAATCAATGCTTCCGATAGAGTTCTTTCTAGGATTTTAGCAGATTCATCGCTAAACTAAAAAGGACACTGCGCGATAGTACCGTTTTTCATATTTGATTGTACAGTGATTTCTCTATTAAGAGAAATATTCTGTTCCCTTAGAGTGGTTTTACTTAGCCCGTGAAATAGTTAGTACATGAATGAAGATTAGTAGATCTTATTTCCATTTTCTTTTGTGTTTATTTGACTCTTAAAACAAGTATTTTTTGTTTGGGCACGGGTTATATTCATTTAGAGGACACTCTTCATTAAACGGACAGCAAGTTGCACCATAGAGTGGGATCTCTTTTCGAAGAGTTGTCTGTTAGCTAATCAGAGCGCTCCATTTCCAATAATTTATTCAGTATCATCTCCCTGGTTGTACGGTCTTCACTTTTTACTCCTATTTATGCTGTAAAACAATGAACCTCTATTCAGTGGACACCAGGCAAAGTCCCATGCAAAGGTATCCACTAAGAGGTACCTTCAACAGCATAATACTGACAATGTTGTTGTAATGATATTGACAGGGCATTCTCTTGTTCCCTGGGGTGTGTGCTACTGACAGTGGGAAGATCATTCGTTTATGGGTCCACGAGGTGTACCGTGTGTTCTATGACAGGCTAGTGGACAGACAGGACAGGGAGTGCTTCTTTGAGATCGTCAAGGTAAACTCAAAAACGACCTTGAAATACTCTCACAAAGAATATATTGATATCTGCAACAGTGACAACAAAGCAACAGTATAAACAAAAGCAACAACAGAAATAACAACAGCAGTAGCAATGAGCTGCAACAGCAACAACAGCAACCATTACAATCTTAGCAACAACAGCAGCAACAACAAGAGCAACACTAACGAAAAACGGGATTAGTAAAAACCACCAAGTGATGCAACATATACAACGACAACATAAATGGATTGCAATTTGTCTATCTTCTTAACTGGAATTATTTTCAATTCCAGAATGTGGTAGGAAACGAGTTCAAAGAGAAAATCAACACCGTTTTTCACCATCTTGTTGAAAGAGGTGGTCAAGTAACTGATGACACCCTAAGGAGGTATGAATGTTCGTATGTGAGAAAGAAGATCTGAAAGAGCTAATAGCTAAAATTCCCTCTTTCGGCATCTTCAACACCCTCCACCCACCCCATCACCCACCTATTCCCACCCACCAAGCCCCCCACACCACCACTGCCAACCCACTTTGCTATCCACCCACACCATTAACATACACCATTACCAACCCACCCACACCACTACCACCAACCCACCCACACCACCATCACCAACCCACCCATACCAACCAACCAACCCATCCACACCACTACCAACCCACCCACTCCACCATCACCAACTCACCCACCAACCCCAGAATTTGTCGTGTTTCGCTCTAAAACATGAATGGCTCCATGAGGACTTTTGTTCCTTTTTTGTAGTTTATTTTTTGGAGACTTCTTGGACCGTAAAGCAAACCCACGACTTTACAACGAGATCCAAGACATGGATGAACTCAGTCAGGTCAGTACGATAACGAAAGAGAGAGATGAGAATTCKTTCTGCAGTTTAACACACTTCTAACTCACACTTTTTGGTGTCCTCGTATACTCAGGCTATGGAGGTGTATCTCGAAGACTATAATATTTCCTGCAAGGCACCCATGGACCTGGTCATGTTCAAATTCGCCATCGAGCATGTGTCCCGCATTTGTCGTGTTCTCAGACAGCCCAATGGACACGCCCTTCTTGTAGGTCTGTACATCACCTTGACTATCATGCACTAGATTCACTATCTTTTTTAAAAATTTGATGGCAGACATCCACGATCCATTCATCCATCCGTCCGTCCACTTATCCATCCATTATTTTCAACACAAGGTTTTATTTGTTCAATACAGGTATTGGTGGTTCAGGACGTGCCAGTGCTACAAAGCTCGCAGCTTTCATGTCGGACTACGAGCTCTTCCAAATCGAGATCACCAAGAACTACACTTTCTTGGATTGGCGAGAAGACGTCAAGAGAATGTTAAGGAAGGCTGGTTACGATGGCGTGTCCACAGTCTTTCTGTTTGGTGATCATCAGATAAAGGTTCCAATCCCATTCTCATTTTTTTCATTTTCGTTTCGTTTATACTTCCACCTTTATTTTCTATAACCCTTGACAAAAAAAGAGTTGATAGTTTCTATCAAAGGTATAGTTTAACCGCTTGTCGTATGTCTGTAGGATGAAGCATTTCTTGAAGATGTGAACATGATTCTTAATACTGGGGACGTACCGAATATTTATGAACATGACGAGAAAGCTGAAATAATTGAAAAGGTTTGGAAACATGCTTTGCTCTTTAACGGAGCTGGTGTCTAGCTAGTTAGTCAGTCAGTCAGTCAGTCAGTCAGTCAGTCAGTCAGTCAGTCA